CGCCTTAGCGGGGTCCCGGTGGAGGGGGGGGGATATGCGGGGGTGGGTGCGGGAAGGCGGCGGAACCGGGCACAGCGGGACCCGCCGGTGGTGCCCCCCGGGCACCGGGTCTCCAGCGGGTCACCGAGAGGTCCCTGCGAGTTTCAGCGAGCAACACGATGCGGCCCTTCCCGCCCTGGGCCGTGATTTCGGTAAGAACAGCCCGGTCTGTGGTGCTCAGGTGCTGCCGTGGGGTGAGCTTATAAAGCCAGAAGCCTGGGCCAGAGCGACAGCTGTTTCCAACGATTTGTCCCACTTTGAGGTAAAACAGAACCAGCCCGAAATGGGTGAAAAATACTATTTTATCATAAACTATTGTCTACGTGAATCATAGAGTGGTTTGGGTTGGGAGGGACCTTAAAGATCCCAACTCCTCTCCCGCCGGCAGGGACACCTCCCACCAGACCAGGTGGCTCCAAGCCCCATCCAGCTTGGTCTTGAACCCCTCCAGGGATGGGGCATCCACAGCTTCTTTGGGCAACCTGTTCCAGTGCCTCACCACCCTCACAGGAAAAAATTCCTTCCTAATATCTAATCTAAATCTCCCCGCTTTCAGTTTAAAATTGTTACCCCTTGTCCTGTCACTACAGAGCCTCATGAAAAACGCCTCTCCAGCTTTCTTGCAGGCCCCTTTCAGATACTGGAAATCCACTAGATAGAATTTCACAGTTTCCACTGGCTCTAAAGGAATAGTTCTGGTTCCAGTTCTGTGTGTTCTGGGTTAAAAAACAGAAATGGAACTTCAACATCATCAGTTTTCCAACTGAAAGAGCTCTCTGTATCCATCTAATTCCAGCCTGTGCTTCTCTGATGTTGCTTTTCAAGATTTTTATCTGTTCCGGAAAAAAAGATCTTTATCTACACGGGGCAATTGTCAGGATGCTCAAACTGGGGTTGTTTTGTAACTGTGATAACGTGACCCTTGCATCCATGCTCCTACACCAACCATCTCCGTGCTGCTTTTCACACTGTTCGATCAGACTGTCTCTTCACCCCTGTGCTGTAGTGTATGTATGTTTTATTGTGAGTCAGACACTCCAAAATGCCTGGGGCTGGCCGGATGAAGCTCCCCAAAAAGCAGGCGAGTGAGGAAAAAGCATGAGTTTGCCCTAGTTCCGAAGCAGTGATGGGGACCGGACAGGGGTTCCTTTAGCCTGGCTCCCATCCCTGTCCATTCCACACCCGTATGTAGCACACAGAAAACAAGCAGGCACTCCCTTCAGTGCATCAGAACAGGTCTGTAACCCTGCAAATTCTGAAAATTTGTTTGTTTGTTTGTTTTAGTGCAAATCTCAGAATGTCATCTGATTTCTGATCAGTAGAAAGATACTAAAAATGCATTTGAGAAACAGGCAAATCCCAAGCAGGGGATAAGTGGCACACACTGCTGATTCCAGATGTGCCTCAGAGTCATTACGGAGCAGCGAGGACGGCACAGCAGATGCTGAGCATGTAAGGGGAGTTACAAAGGGACATTCTGGGTACACAGTGTCCAAGTAGGGCCCTTGACTTTACAAGAAAGGACTGCTTTTATCCAGGCTCCAGGTCTATGTCCTCTTAGACAAACAGAACATCAGAAGGCATAACTGATGAATAAAAGGAATTCTTACTTTGCTGGGTTCCCTTGAGCCTTTATAAGTATGTGCTTTCGTTGGTCAGGGCTACACATCTCGCCATGAGGGTGGAAAAGTAGCTGTTCCTGAGTCGCATCTTGTGACAGGAGGAGATTGGGCTCGATCACATCATAGATATAGATCGGAAGGGACCACAGAATATCTACACCAAGCAGCATCACAAATAACAGGCCTTAAACACAGATCCCAGCACCCTCAGGCAGGCTTACAACCAGAACAAAAAAGCAAAACCCACCAACAGCAAAACACAAAAGCCACAAGAAGGGATTAGGAGGGACCACGCAGTGATCCAGGTCTAAATCTACAGCATTTATAAGCCCACGGCCTCTTGCCCTGTGCTGGGTCCCTAAACACAGACATACAGCTTCTTTGGGGCATCAGCTAATTAGGTCCCCTCCACTCATTATTTCCAAGCACATGAAAAGAAAGGCAAGACCAA